ACTAATGTTGACGACCTTGTCGTCCAAGATGGGTGAGTGCAAGGTCTCCTAGATGATAGTTCGGTGCTGTCCAGGCCTTTTGGTGCTGGCAAATTTTGATAGGAGGTCAGCTCGGGCATTTTGTTCTCGCGGCACATGTTGTACGGTGAACTCGTCGAAGGACGAGATCTGGTGGGATGCGATGTGGAAGTACCGCTGTAGAAGAGTATCCTTTGCCTGGTACGTCCCACTGAGTTGCTCCACCATGAGTTTCGAGTCGCTGTTGCAACTCACTCTTCGAGCTCCGAGGTCGCGGGCTAGCCTTAGTCCTGCGAGGAGTGCCTCATACTCTGCCTGGTTGTTGGTCACCTTGAAGCTGAACTTAAGGGATTGCTCCAAGGTAACTTGGTTTGACCCTTCCAATTTGATACCTGCACCACCGCCCTTAGAGTTGGAGGACCTGTCAACGTGTAAAGTCCATACTTGGGGTTCCTCGGCAGTAGTAGGCGTGAGCTCAGCTACGAAGTCGGCCAGGCATTGAGCTTTCAGGGCGCCACGACTTTCGTACTGGATGCCGAACTCAGACAATTCTACTGACCACGCAATCATCCGTCCTGCGAGCTCGGGCTTTCTCAGAATTTGCTTGATGGGGTAGTCGGTTTTGACCACCACCTGGTGACTCTGGAAGTAGGGTTGGAGGCGTCGAGCTACGGTGAAGAGTGCCAGCGCCAACTTTTCGATCATTTGGTACCGTTTCTCCGCATCTTGGAGGACTCGGCTGATGAAGTAGACCGGCGTTTGCACTTTCTGATGTTCCTGCATTATCACTGTGCTGATGGCATTTTCTGCCACGGCCAAGTAGAGGAGGAGGTCAGTTTTGTGATTCGGCCTCTGTAGGATTGGCGGAGTCGTGAGAAATGTTTTGAAATTGTAGAAAGCTTCTTCGCACTGATCCGTCCGCTGGAAGTCTTTAGGCTTCCGTAGCAGAGTGAAGATTGGCCTTGCTTTCTCGGCGAGTTTGGGGATGAAACGGGACAGTGAGACTAACCGTCCGGCCAGGCGTTGGACCTCCTTCACCGTTTGCAGACTCTACATCTAGACGATGGCTTTACACTTCTCGGGGTTGGCCTCGATCCCTCTGCTAGAGGCATTGAGCTTTCAGGGCGCCACGACTTTCGTACTGGATGCCGAACTCAGACAATTCTACTGACCACGCAATCATCCGTCCTGCGAGCTCGGGCTTTCTCAGAATTTGCTTGATGGGGTAGTCGGTTTTGACCACCTGGCGACCGTAGATCCGGCGGTTGTTGATGACGCCGGTAATGCAATTTGTGGCGATTTTTAACCGTCACAAACTACCAAAATAACCGCCACAAATCACACATTTTTTTGTAGTGATGAATCGTGAATAATAATCGTTTGAATTCTCAAAACCTGATTTTTATTTCCGACAAAACTAAAGTTGGTCCAACTTTTAAAATCCTCTGGATTGACTTGAAAAGAATCATTTAACTATATATACCTCGATCATTATTCATTTTTACACAAATTGCATTATTACAAAAAAAAAAAACAAAAAAAACAAAAAAAACAAAAAAACAAAACTCCGTGTGTGTGTCATCTCATGAAAACATGTAGCTATTGGTTCTCAATTTCATTCTCTATTAAATCTTAAGTTTGGGCTTGAGAGCTGTATTAATATTGGCAACCTGTAAATGTATAGCAAATAACACTACACAAACAAGAACCAACTGCATTGTTAAACTTGTAAAATCATATGCCAATACACTTTATTGATTTAGAGTAGTAAAATAGACCCTTTTATCAAAAACTTCATAAAGAAATAATTAAATTTATAAGCTCTAAGTAGACAACTTTCAACTTCAAAGAGATCCATGCTAGAAACCCTCAATAGTACAGTGAAAGCCTCAAAGAAGGGGGGCGTCAAAAGGTCCTAAGATAGAGCCTCACAGAGCCAATGAGGCAATCAAATCATCATGGTTAACACTCAACACCAGGACTAAGAGAACATTAGTTCCTATAACACCTGAAAAGTTTACAATTGGGATTTTGTCAACCCAACGCTGGTGCAAATTGAAGCATACTCATGCAAAGTTACACAATACAGAAAACACAAATTACTGCCATGAAGGAACAAGATGCAAGAGTTCAAGGTTTTAATGAGGTTGCTTCTGACATGCAATACTTGAGAAAACTCACCAACCCTTTGTCTCTGGCATTCTTCTTAACGAGTTCAATCAGTCATTCTCTGTTACACCCACTTGAGAAATTCACAATGGCTCAATATTCTGTGTTACATACCTAACGATACTCATTGTTAGAAAAGCAATTCTAAACTTGGTTCAAACAACATCACATTAAATTTAAAACAATTGAAAATGTCAACCTTCTGGTTGAAACTCTCCATTCCTTGGAAGAATGTAATCATTCTTTCTACCAAAACCTGCAAAATTACAGCAAAAGCAGATTAAGGATAAAAAGCTGAGCTAATTTTAATAAACTTATCAAAACGGATTTAATGTAAGAAAACAAATAAATAAAGTTAAATAAAATAAAATTTCTTTTTTAATTAAAATTAATTTACACAATTTAAATTTTTATAGAATTTCTTTTATTTATTTTATAATAAGTCTGTGTTGAACACCTAGGATTCACATTTTGTTAGGTACCCTAATTCACGCACATGTTTCTACAATGATATGATATTGTCCACTTTAAATTTAAACTCTCATGATTTTATTTTTGATCATTTTTCAAAAGACTTTATATCAATAGATCATGTGTGCTTTATAAGTTTTTCTTTCTTATCATAATTCAATGTTGTGGGACTTAGTTTGTATCCCAACAAATCTCCCCTCAAACAAAGATTCATGATTTAACCTCCTTTAGTGAAAACTTTTCTTTTCATTTACGAGTATTTAATGATGGTTCTTAGAGTTTTAATCACACCTATCAATTCAAAATACTTGTACCGTTGTTAGCTCACATTAATGAGATATGTCGCCTAACTTCCACATCGCCTATAACAATGATCAAGACATTTGATTTAAATTATTAATGTTATTATTATTTAAATACGGTAACTCTTATTATTATTATTATTATTATATATAAAAGAACAAAAAGGTGTAATGAAATTAATTTCATTACTAATTAATTTTTAACTCTTATGTTAAGCTAATAATTAAAAGTACCTTAATTATTTCCAACTTAGACGAAAATTTTTGGGGGAGAAATTACTTCATATATTAACAACTTTATATAATAAAATATATAATATATTATTTTTATTTAAATAAATTTAATTGTTTAGTTTAGAACTATTTGCAATTATTAAAATATAATTTTTTTAGCAAATATTTTATACAAATGACTGCGTAGAATTTCTTTATATTATTGTCTAATTGGAAATTGACATATATAATAAATTTATTAATTTAAAAAATATATTTGTTACATCATATTAATGATTGATCAACGGTGTAAAATAATTTTGTATCATTAATAAATATTTTTAATTATTAAACTTTAATTTTTAATGATTTAATTGTACTTTTAATCTATTTATAATATTAAATATGTAGTTTTAGTTTTTCTATTTTTAATTCTACAATTTAATTCCCCAAATTTTATAAAGTCTGTAATTTTAGTCCCCCAAATTTTATAAAGTCTGTAATTTTAGTCCCTTCATTTAATGTTCATTTATTAATCATTAAAATTGTAACGTTAGTTGTAATCTAACACGGAATAGTTGACAAAATGATTAATATTTAATAATATTTGTGTTAATTAGCACATTTAGTTCATTTTTATCACTTTTTCATCTCATTTTATTATCTTTATGAGATAAAAATGAAAATTAATCGTAAAATTTACTCTAAATATTATTAAATATTAATTATTTATTGATATACTTAATATCACATCATGATTAATGTTACAATGTTAATTATCAATGAATAAACATTCAAAAGGGGATTAAAATTATAGATTTTATAAAATTAGAAGACTAAAATTACAATTTAAAAATAAAGGAACTAAAATCGCAAATTTGAATATTATAAGCAACTAAAATTACAATTTGAATATTAATTTTGACTTATTAATAAATAAATCTAACCTAAATCCCAAATCTGAGTTTAAGTCATAATTTTTTAATAAATGAATTGGTTTATTTCACGTTTCATATACTATTAGTGGGAAAGAAGTATTGGTTTTTGTTGATAATTAAAGTTAAAAGTTAATTACAGTTTTGAATAAGCAAAAGAGTTTAAATTAATTTTTTATTTCGATAATTTTAAATTAATTTATAATTAGTTTATCTTGCATTTATACTAATATATATTTAATTTAATAAAATAAAAAATAAATACAAACATATAATTAATTCAAATGATATATATTTGTTCTTGTTTAAGTAAGATATCAATTTTAAATCTTTTGTATAAAAAAAATCTCACAGAAACTAACATCATTATCTCTAAAGATTACCTCTTTATATAACTTTTTTTTATATTGTAATAATAATGAATAAAAAAAATTGTACTTTGTGATCTAAAAATATCCGAGCAAACATGGAGATGCCGGGTGGACATGTTTATCGCATAAGGAAGCTTTTGATGCCAAATGTTTCATCAACATTATTTAACTCATTCACACCATACTTTTAATTTGTGACTATTGGTTTCATTATTGAGTTTTCTTGAACAGAAAAAATATAAATTTCAAAGCACTAAGCTAAAAAAAAATAACTTTTTTCTATTTATTCTGTTGAACGTGATTATGTGATTTTCAACAGAAACCAAACACACACTAAGTTTGTCATGTAAGTTCTAAAATTACGAAAAGTTGTAGACAAAACACCGTTGATGCAGCTGTAATTGCCATTACTTGTTACCGTACAGTTGGGGGAAAAAAATCTCCTAAGCATAGATATTATACAAATCGAATTAAAGCTTAGCATTTAAAAACATTAATTCTGAGACTTACCTTGTCCTCGTGTCCGTGTAGTATGAGTATGATCTTATAATAAATAAAAGGTGTCCAAAGTCTGAGGTGTTCCTCGTTCTCTCCCCTCAAACACACAACAAGGTTGTAACTCAGACTTAACCATGAAACCTCTGACTTTAATCCTCAGTCTCACACTATGCATCCTATTCATCGCTGCCATCTCTGAAGCAAAGTCCATAGTCACACAACCTCAACCCAACCAATCTTTCAAGCTCAACCAAACCAAGCCACAGGTAACAAAGTTTCTTTACTTTTAGAAAGGTACCCTATTAAGTTTAGTTACTGATATTATTGTATATGAACTAATTAACTGCTCTAACTGAAAGAACATGCATATTGCATAGATAGATCAGACTTGGATTTCAATTTTCAATTGAATTAAAGCATTTTTCAGATCTTGTTATTGCTTATGAAATTAAAGGTAGATATGAGTTTTGCAGAATGTGGGTAGTAGCTGTAGTTACACGGTGACCATAAAAACAAGCTGCAGTTCTCCTTCCTACACTAGAGATCGCATCAGTCTTTCTTTCGGTGATGCTTATGGCTATCAGGTTCGTTCCCTATGGTCATAGTCTTATAGCCTGTTTGGATGCAGTCTAGAAGCCCATTTTTGAGAAATTCTTTACCAAAAACTCTTAAAAAAATTTCTAAGCTTGTATCCAAACAGAGTAGTAAGATCTGTTTCTGAATTGCTCTTATTATATAGATATGAATGTGAATTGAAAATACAAAGTGGGGTGGTGTTGGATAATCAGGTTTATGTTCCAAGACTTGATGATCCTCGATCAGGGACATTCGAGAGGTGCTCTACAGATACATTTGAGATATACGGTCCATGTACCTACCAAATATGCTATCTGTATCTATACAGGAGTGGATATGATGGTTGGCTGCCAGAGAAAGTGACCGTATATGGCTATAACTCCAAGCCTGTGACATTTTACTACAATACTTACATACCTAATGGCATTTGGTATGGCTTTGATTATTGTCGCGGTTATCTGCCCTCCAAAGCAGCACAGTAGTGTAGTAGTAAAGTGTCCTTTTCCAAAGTGAAACTTTCTTATGTTCTATGTCTCTACTTTCTAGTCTTTGGCTACTGAGGTTCCACGTTACCATGTCATATTTAATTCGAGAGACTTTTTTTTTTTTTTTTTTATGCTGATCACAAAGCTTGTTTCTTTCTAATATATCTTTTGTTTTCTTTAATTGCCTTTTTTGTGTGCTTGTAAGGTCCTCTTTATATCGAGGGAGGTTAAAAAGTTAAACAAGACATTATTATATATATATATAGTCTGTTTGGAAGTGAGTTAGAAATATTTTTGAAAGATTTTCTGTTTGAAACAAAAGTTTTTTAAGTAAAGAAGCTCTAAAAAATATTTCTAAGTTTATATCCAAACAAATTCATAGAATGAGTAATGTTATTTATTGTCATAACTTGAAATGTTTATTTGTGTCATGGGTTGTTGGTAGGAAAGTTGATTAGAATTTGAGGTGAAATCAGTCTCCTTAATTTCTTCTTTGAATTGATGGGTCTTCATTAGAAAGCTAATTAGGGTCTGTACCCATTTACTTCTTATATATTTGGGGATATGGTGAAGTGCATTCCTTTGCATAGCTGGTGTTGGGACCTGTCCACCATATGTTCGACATAATGCCTCAATGTGCAAAATATCGTAGAATTGTTTAGTGTTTACTGCATAATAATATGATCCTACTGAAATAGAGTGGTGACACTAACAGCTTCTATTTGTGTCTACCATGTATCCCCCAAGCGACCATGGTCCATGGATGAATTAGGTAAGAGAATGAGCATCGCATTCTCTTACAGCTTTAGTTCAATTGACACATTTTTTTTTGGTGAATAGTTCAATTGACCCAATTTTTTAGCTATATATGTATACTGGGAGAGTGGTAGTTGACTTGTATCTTTGCTAACCATAGTTTGTGTAGCTACTGAAGGGTAGAGAGATAGCTATACAACTCAAGCAAAATTCAATAAAAATTCACTCAATTACACCTAGTCTAATTGCTTGAAGGACCTCAACCATCATTTAGTTTATCATGGAATAATCATTACTTGGTTGGATTCTCGTGTTCTTTCGTCTTCATTACAGGATTTTCTGTTTTTCCTATGATATCTATTGAAGGCTATGGAATGATCTTTGTAAAGTAGCGTGTGTGGCTGAGTTTTTCTTCAAGCTTTTGAGTTAGCATGATCTTGTGGCCTTGTAGGAAAACATAAGTCAAGAAGCAAATCATAGTTTTGGCTTTAGGCATTGAGTTAAGGCTTGAGAACAATTATTTTTAACCCAAAGTACATGGCGTAGTACAATTAACAGATAATTATGTTCTTGAAGCATACAATTAAGAGTTTATCTATATATATATTTGTGTATATAAAAATATATTTGTTAAGAGAAGTCGATTTCTTAAATAGATCTTTATAATGTGAGGAATTAGTTTTTAACTCTCAACCAGAATATATCTTCACACACAAAAAAAAAAAAAAATCAATTTTAAAGCAATATATATTTTTTTTTACCTTTTTAATACCAAGATGTTGATAAAAACGAGTTTATCCCAACTTAATCTGACTCGAAGGCACCTCATTTCAATTTCTCTGTGTTTTGAAATTAAGAAAGGAGTTTGAGAATAATGATGGGGTTATTTTTATGGTATTTGTCTGAGAAGATATTTTATGAATTATTTTTATAAGGTTATTAAACAAACATACTCCACAATGATGAGATATTGTCCGCTTTGGGACTTAGCCCTCACAGTTTTGCTTTTGGTCATCACCCAAAAGGCCTCTCTATCATTGAAGTATGTTTGTATTATATAAGTTGTTATTTTTTATCATATTTTTATCGATGTGGGACTTGTTTGTATCCCAACAATCCTCCTCTCAAACAAGGGACCTAACCTTTCATGCAGCGGAATCTGTCTTTATATAGCACATTATATTTTATGAGTTATGAGGGGTTATAGGGTTATTAGTTGTCACCGAATCCAACCTGCAGCTCTGATATCACTGATGGAGTTATTTTTATGGTATTTGTCTGAGAGGATATTTTATGAGGTTATTTTTATAAGGTTATACACAAACATACTCCACAATGATGAGATATTGTCCGCTTTGGGCCAAAAAAAAAAAAAATCAATTTTAAAGCAATATATATTTTTTTTTACCTTTTTAATACCAAGATGTTGATAAAAACGAGTTTATCCCAACTTAATCTGACTCGAAGGCACCTCATTTCAATTTCTCTGTGTTTTGAAATTAAGAAAGGAGTTTGAGAATAATGATGGGGTTATTTTTATGGTATTTGTCTGAGAAGATATTTTATGAATTATTTTTATAAGGTTATTAAACAAACATACTCCACAATGATGAGATATTGTCCGCTTTGGGACTTAGCCCTCACAGTTTTGCTTTTGGTCATCACCCAAAAGGCCTCTCTATCATTGAAGTATGTTTGTATTATATAAGTTGTTATTTTTTATCATATTTTTATCGATGTGGGACTTGTTTGTATCCCAACAATCCTCCTCTCAAACAAGGGACCTAACCTTTCATGCAGCGGAATCTGTCTTTATATAGCACATTATATTTTATGAGTTATGAGGGGTTATAGGGTTATTAGTTGTCACCGAATCCAACCTGCAGCTCTGATATCACTGATGGAGTTATTTTTATGGTATTTGTCTGAGAGGATATTTTATGAGGTTATTTTTATAAGGTTATACACAAACATACTCCACAATGATGAGATATTGTCCGCTTTGGGCCTTAGCCCTCACGGATACAAACAAGTCCCACATCGAAAAAACAAGGGACCTAACCTTTCATGCAGCGGAATCTGTCTTTATATAGCTCATTATATTTTATGAGTTATTTTTATAAGGTTATTACACAAACATACTCCCCAATGATGAGATATTGTCCGCTTTGGGCCTTAGGCCTCTCAATCATTAAAGTATGTTTGTATTATATAAGTTGTTATTTTTTATCATATTTTATCGATGTGGGACTTGTTTGTATCCGGGAGGGCTAAGGCCCAAAGCGGACAATATCTCATCATTGGGGAGTATGTTTGTGTATAACCTTATAAAAATAACCTCATAAAATATCCTCTCAGACAAATACCATAAAAATAACCCCATCAAATAATTATAAAGGGTAAATTATAATACACTATATGAGTTTTCTATATGATAAAAATAATGGTGATAAATTTTATGTGGTCTGAATTTTTCACATGCTATTAAATTTTTACATGTTTGAGAAATATTAAATAAGTAAAAGACATTTTTTATTCTAAAAAATAAGTTTTTTATTTAAGCTAAAAATTAAAATTTATAATTACTTCTCAACAATCTTTTTTCTTTTAAGCCAGATAATTTAAAAAATATTATTTTTCAAGTAATAATTTAAAAACTTTCATTCTTATAATATTTGAATTTTTGTATTTCATTTATTGTGTCTAAATTAATTATTATTGAAAAATTAAACTTATTTATTTAAATTTTAATAAATATTATATATAAAGACACAAATAACTTTTTTTAATTATTAAATGAAGCGAGTTAGATTTTTAAAATCACTTAGCTAAGTGGCATGGAACGGGGCATTTTGTCACTCTCAATATCACAAGTGTTAAACAATTTTATATATATATATA